ATTTATTGACTGAAGTGTCATCTGCCTGACTTTTACTGTATGTTTGAGTCACATCTCAACGCCCAACCAAAATGACAAACACGTAAGAAACATGTCAGCAAACACTGTTGTTGCATTTATGTTGATCCAGCTAAGCTGGTTTGTTTGGCTCTGAATTTGTTTCACATTCACCGAGGTCAGGTCAGGAGGAGCAAGGAGGAGATCTCACCTTTAACATAGAGGAGAAACACACCATCACTAGATTCTGTATTGGCGTGTTGCATCTCTCAAGTCACTCACATCTTCAGTTGCTCTTCTCTGTTCGATTTTTCTGAGTGAATACATTTTGAAAGAGTTTATTCTAAATTTCTCAGCATATTATTTATATGTATTATATAGACATTATTAGATGCATGCATAATTCATATTCTTAGTGGAGTATAATAATTTATTAATCACACTGGAATAATGACAACTGTTGTAAAATGCAGAGTGTCAAGTTTGTGTAGATCTGGGTCTTGTGTATGTAGAATTACTCCGCTTTGGCTCCAGATGGCATCAGAGACATATTGTATCTAGGCTTTACTGATGCAGACCTGACCTTGCATTACTGTTATTATCTGCACTGCTTTAGTTGTGATTTATAAATAGATGTGCATTTCTTATTTTTGATCTCAATAATGATTCTATATAATGATATATAATGATAGTGTTTCTGACCTTAAAGATAATGAGTGTAATTTAAAATAATTGGTCCTATCTCAGCTTGATGTGCAGATACAATGCATAAGCCATTCATAGGTTCTTTTGATATATGTGTGGCTCTGTGGCAGTTTCTGCATTGTTGGAGTGTCCCTACGTTTGTTACATTGTCTTGACCATTGGTGTGAGTTTAGAGAAGGTTTATTCTACTAATGGCAAAAACATTTTTGAAATCATCCTTTTTTTGCAGTTTCATATGGAGCTACTGCCTGGTGGTGTAAAATGTGCACACTGCTCCCTTAAAACCCCCCTGAAAGACCATCTATATGTTAGTGTACTCATAAGTATTGGCACAAATTAATTTGTATTGGCACACAAAAAGTATTCTCGTAGCTCCGCAAAACTGAAGTTGAGCCACTGATGTCACATGGTCTGTTTTACCAATGTCCTTACTATGTCTCTGGACCTGGGAACATTACAATTGCGTTGCTGTCTATGCAGGGTCTGAGAGCTCTCAGATTCCATCAAAATATCTTAATTTGTGTTCTGAAGATGAACAAAGGTCTTACGGGTTTGGAACGACATGAGGGTGAGTAATTAATGACAGAATTTCATTTTGGGGTGAACTAACCCTTTAAAGGGCTTGATTGTGTTTATGGGGTGCAGTCTAACATGTGTTAATGCTTAGTTTGAAAAAAAAAAAAACGCATTATTTTTCACATAATTTACCTTTATTCCACACCGCTCTGTCCCTTCTCTGAGAAAAGTGCTGATCTTTTCCTGTTTTTATGAAGCCCTGCCCTCAGAAATAGGCGATGGGCTCTGATTGGTTAGCTGGCCCCATGTGTTGTGATTGGCTAAACCGCCCCTAATGCGCGTCTAAACGTCCCGCCCCTCACCTCAGCGGCATGTGCTCCGGTTGTATTGTAAACAACGGCGTCGTTAATATCGCTTATCAGTTTGAGCCCGATTGAGAAGCAGAGGATATTATTGAAGAGGATCGTGCAGAACCTGTGCAAACACAGCTTTTAATGGTAGGCCTATGTTTTTTGTTGTGTCATACTTTTAGATATGCTGTTATTTGTAAATGCTACTGCTTATGTTAGCTTTTAATATATGTTTTATCCTGATTAAAGCTTTAATACAGTATGGCAATTGCACTCGCGCCCATGTATAACGCTTCTCATAGCTATGTGAAAATAAGTGTATAAATGGAACAGTTCATTGTTGGAGCTGAGCTGAGAGCGAGAGAGAGATGCAGAGCGTGTGCAGAGCAGGGGAACGCGAGGAACAGTATTAAGAACCGCTGCTTTAGAACATTGATTTTGAAACTTGTGAATCCATTAGAATCATTAGAAGACAGAATCGCGATTCATATATGAATAGATTTTTACGTGCACCTCTAGTTTTCTCTTCCTCTTCTCTACAGCAGCGCAGCATGGCCTCGCCCCCTTTTCTGCCTTTTACTGAGGGCGGGGTTTATCTGGGTTTGTGACGTCACAAACCCGGGAAGTATCTTGTTGTAGTCCCTACGAGCCGTTTTTGTAGGCATTAAACTACCAGAATTTTAAAAGACGATATCTCCGTTTGCATTGAACTTTCAGCTTCGTAACTTTACAGATATTGTTTATGCTCAAACAGCAACATTACACACTAACTAACGTTAAAAAAGTGAAAATCGCAATCAACCACCCCTTTAAAATAGTCCATGTGACATCAGTGGTTCAACCATAATTTTATGAAGCTACGAGATTACTTTTTGTGTGCAAAGAAAACAACTTGAACAATTCTTCTTCCGTGTCACCATCTGCCACCATTCACGAGAGTACCACGAAAAATAAAAATTAATCTTTCACCCTCATGTCATTTCAAACCTGTACGACTTTCTTTGTTCTGTAAAACAAAACAATTGTATTTATTTATTTATTTTTTAAAGAATCTTCACACAATGGTCACACTACTGTTAAAGATATGTAGATTCCCCCGAAAGTATTCCTTTTTGTGTTCCATAGCGTAGGTGCATTTAGTTTTGGAACAGAGTGAGTAGATAATGACAGTTTGTGAATTTTTAGGTGAACTGTTTCTTTTAAGCTCCTATGTGAGACATTATCCTGATAGTTCGCTGAGTCTTAAAATTATAATATGTAAACCCATACCACCTTAGAGCACACGCTTTAATGTCATGCATAGATTTAGTGCAGGTGTGGATCGAGGCTATGTTTTCACTGCTTAGTATTAGCAAGGTGGAAATTGAGATAACAGCTCATGGACAGGCATTGTCCCGCGGCCACAACGGCCCGTGTGGGATGGGCGGCAGCCGGAGAGGCTTGCCGTCATTTTAGCTGGCTGTCAGTCTTAATGTGTCAGCTGCTCAGCCTGAACTCTGCATGGCCACTGCCTGCATCACCACTGTCACTTGCATGGGTGGTTTGTGGGAAATGGAGCGTTTCCAGCTGAAGATAGCTGCTCCGGTTCTGTCAGTCTGAAGGAGGAGGGGTGCGGAGAGCCGCCGCGCTGCAGTAGAGACGAAAGCGCAGAGACGGCGAGATGAATCTTGGGTGACAGATTGCAGCCTAGTCAACTCTACGTTGTGCGTGGCAGTTCCACGACAGGTCTCGCTGTGAAAGGGCATAATGTCCGCTTGCCAGTCCAACCCCACCTGGTGCCTTCCACCCGCTCTTGTTGTTGGATTTTGCTCAAGGGACATTGTGTACTCTGGAACAAATGAACAAAGTCACAGAAACACAAACACTGAAACAGCGACTGCTTCAGCACCTGTTTCTCAGCCCGGATGTTGAGGGACCTCAAAGTTTTGTCCTGGAATGCAAAACAAAGCATAGACAGTATGATGGGGCAGAGATGTGCCACTCGTAGGAAAATAAATATAAAAAAGATAAATAAATATAGAAAATAGCTGTAGGAATAGAAGCCCTACAGAGACATTTTTTGATAGAAAGATTAAATAAACTCCAGTTTGCATGCATGCAGATTAGCTAGATCAGCCTGAAAACGAGGGGTTTTTATGTTTGGGTTTTGTGATTTTCTTGATTTTGTGTGTGGTGTTTTTGTTATGTTTTGTTATGCACTTTGTTAAGTGATGTCTGTTTTTTTTTTTTGTCCTTTTTTTTTTTTTTTCCTTTTCTTTTTTTTTTACATTTGAAGTCTATTATTTAATCTAGGGTATGGTAAGAACATAACCTTTGTCATATGTTGTTTTTTTAGTAATTCATTCTTTGGTAGATACTGCACATTTCTTACATGTCCTTTTGAATATCCTGCGTAGAGCATCTAATGTGACCTATGGCATCCAGCTTGCCTGATAATTCCCTTCATCTGCCGAATACAGCCCTTTGTCTGAATCTGAAGCCAGACTGCCTCTGACCTTTTAGTGTGGAAAAAAATTGCCAATGCCGCCATATGTATGGAAAGAAATATGGAATAATAACATTTGAGGAAAAGGAGCAGGAACTATAAGTCAGACTTGATTTCCAGCAGATTGTATATTCTGGAACCTGTGCAGCCTGGAATCGCAATAAAGTTTAATGCAGTCTGTTCGCATAAGAGCGCTTGAGTGCTGAAGTTCAGTGATAGTAGTCCAAGACCTTCATCAGTGTGTTTCCTCAGAACCATATGGCTGTAAGTGTCATTTCTGTTTAAACCATCCCATTAGTGCCATTATTTTCAAAGCAGTATCTGTTTCCAAGTCTTTGATTTATGAAATCAATTACATAATTACAGTTCAATATGAAATTAAGCTCTGTGGAGTTTTTAAATATGCGATGTGATATCTGATAAATAGTAAACCTCTTTCATTTCCTAAAAAATTGCATCTTTAATAAAGGAAAGATGTGTGGTGCTATGTCAAGACTTTAGTCAAGTTAGGCATAATATTTACTTTGATTCTTATGAGAAAGTAGCTGTGAGGGATATAAGTAGAGTCTGTTCATTAGGCTATACATGTGTAAGTTTTTCCCAACTGGAAATGTTTTGGGGAGATGTATTTTCAATGTTGTCAGCTGAACAATCGACTCCAAGGTTTTGTACAATGATTAAAACTCGCCTGGGCTACTTCGTATGACAGTAAAATCATTATATGCCTCTGAGTTATGCACATTAGTAAGTAAATTGATTAAAAAAGTAAATTTGATCACTTTAGTTATGTACTTTAATAATATGTTAAAGGTTCAGCCTCTGTTGGTTCCTCTGATGCACAATGGCAGGTTGTGTAACTGTGACTAGGTTGTATGAATGAATGAGGTTTTTTTTTTAACGTGACTGGTTTTGTGTCTTTTTTTTCTTTGTGGTTGTATGTGCTGCAGAGGATGGAGGGAGATGAAGAGGACTCCCAGAGGGTGAAGCTGTCAAAGCAGAATGGAGTGAGGAAGAGCGAGTCAGAGGAGGAGCGGAGAGAGATGATCACTCCAGCCTTGAGAGATGCTCTGACTAAACAAGGTACAGCATGGCCTTAACCTGCCTGTGTTATTCACTCACGCAAAGAAAGATGTATGTGACCGAAATGAAAGATGCTGTACAATGGGTATCTGCGTAAATGCATACACACAATTTTTCATTTTCTTTTAATTTTTTTTGATCGGTCTGCTTCACTTTATTAAATTTGAATGTCCTTGTACATTTCCTGTTCTTGTTATATTTACAACTAATGTTTCTGATGAAAATGTGAGTGGTTTTCATGCAATACTCGCCTCTATAATGTTGTTGTGGGTAGTTGCTGTGCCGTCATTTCCTATTCCTGTTTGTCGTTTGGCATCTAGCCTAAGTTTTTGTTTGTAGCTTTTAGCTCGCAAAACTTTTTTGGTGTGAAAGTTTTATTGAGATTTTTACTGTTTGCCTCAAATTTCATTGCTCCTATTTTGGATTTAAACCAACTTTCTTGGAGGTCACTGACAGCTTTATGTCCATGAATGTCTAAAAAAAAAAACACTAAAAAAAAAAAAAAAAAAAAAAAAAGCATTCCTGATGTTTAAATTTTTTTTATTTTATTTTTAAGAAATTAGTAATTTTAATCATCAAAAAAATCATTACATTGATCAAAAGAGACAGTAAAGTCATTTATAATGATACAAAAGCTTTCTAAATCGTCCCTTTGAACTTTCTATTAATAAAATCCTGTTTCTTGTGCACCGAATCAGCATATTAGAATGATTTCTGAAGCATCATGTGACACTGAAGACTGGAGTAATGAGGCTGAAAATTCAGCTTTGATCTCAGGAATAAATTACATTTTAAAATATATTGAAATAGAAAACAGTAATTTCAAATTGTAATAATATTCTTCAATATTAATACATTTTTGATCAAATAAATGCTGCCTTTGTTGAGCAAAAGAGGCTTCTTTCAAAAAAATCTTGCCAACCCCAAACTTTTGATCCTTAATCTTAAGTATAACCTCGTAAAACTCCATCTCTTTGTATTTAAAGTTAAAATAGCTTTGCAAAGTTCAACAGCTAGCTTTAAATAAGCGCACTAGCTACAAGCCCTTCACAGATTACTGTTATGTCCCATTTCCCTGATGATGGACAGTTGTTTCCTGCTTTCCCGGCTGCTTTAATTGAATACGTCTCAGTGTTTTTCATCTCTCAAAAAAAACCAAGGCCCTGATGGTAATTAGGTCCTCAGTGCTGGCAGAGTGTCACCTGCGTTATAGTAAACCTATTTTTCAATAATGGTTATTTCTCACACTTTTGACAGTTTTTCCTTTCCGTAAGCGGTATCTTACGTTTATTATTAATGAACCGGCTGCAGAGCTGCAACTCTTCTCCTATTGTGCTCTACAAATTTCACCCTCGTCGTCAGGTTTTTGATGGAGCCTCTGATGGTGTGACTGTGCCTAACGGAGCTTAATGATGCAGCAAAGCCCAATTACTCCTCTCCTGCTGCCGGAGTTCCCTTGAGTTTCTCACTCCACACCTTTTATTAGCACAGCCTGCCTCCAGCCACATACACACCCTGCACAACTGAGGCTGGCCCGCTCTCACATTTACACCGAGGTTGTGTGTACTACCAATCAGTGTCCACTGTGCTTGTGGCCATGGGCAGCACCTTTGAGGATGTTGTTAGTTTAACATACTTGATATAGCAAACTCACAATCAATAGAGACCAAGAGATCTCCGCATTATAAGGTGTGTGTTGAGCAAATATTATCATGTTTGTCCTGGGATCAGGATCTAGAATGTGTCCAAGTTATATTTTACCCAAAATTCATATGAAACAAATACGAAATTTCATTATAGCTTATATTTAATTCTAATTGGTCAGTCTCCGCATTCTGTGGTCAAACTTTTGCTAGTTGAATTTCTCTCTCATCACATAATTTCAACTAGGGATGGTTTTATGTCAGTACATTTATTTTTAATGATTGGTATCAGTCAATATAAGATTCTCATTTCTTGTATTTCTCACTTAGTTTAATCTTTAAAAACACCAATAATATAATAACACTGTTAAATGTAACATTTTAAAATCACAAAATGAATATCCAATTTTCATATTATGTTGTGGCGTCTAAATTCACTAGCAGTTTTAAAATTTATTGTAGTTATTGTTATATTTTAGTTAGCGTTTTTTAATTTATTTTGAAAAAATTGCATAATTTTAATACAGGCTATTTATCAGTTATCGGCTAGAACATAAAAATAATTATTGGCTTATCGTTTCTTACCAGAAGAAAATAAATAATGAACTGTCTGCTTGTAAAATAAACCCGGTCAGGACTCAGGATGATTAAAATACTGACGTGAAGAGGATGGACCTTGAATCATATTGTATTAGTATATTTACATATTACATAAAAGTATATTTTCCACAGTTGTAAATAAAACAAAGGTAATTGGAGTATGTTTTACAAGAATATACAATTTCTGATTTTTTTTGTCAATTTCACATTTAATTCAGCTTTTCTTTGTAGTTATTTATTCTCATTTTTTTTAGTAAAAATAGTCTTAAAGATGGCTTATATCGAAATCCTCCGACATTCTTCTTTACAAATCTTTGTTTTGTACTTCTAATAAGTGATTGTTGTTTTGTTTTGATCTCTCCCCTGCGCTTCCGCGTTCGTCACTTCTGAGCGGCGCATGCGCAAAGCTGACCTCATACGTCATCCGCCCGGAGCTGCTTCCGTGTTCAACTGTTGGCGCAAGCTACATTAAAGTGATTATTACGTTTTGAATATGGATATTTTTCATACAAAAACGCATCGATTCGCTACAGGAGGCCTTTGTTCACCCCCCGGTGCCGTGTGAGACACTTTTTTTATTTTTAAATTTTTTTTAATGGATGGGCGCTTTTTATTGGACTGATGCATGCAACACCCACTGAGTGGCATTAAACAGCTTGAAAGATCAAAGACAATTTTTAATAAAACTCCAACTGGATTCGTCTGAAAGAAGAAACTCATTTACACCTAGGATGACTTGAGGGTGAGTAATTTGTGGGCTAATTTTCATTTTTGGGTGAACTAACCCTTTAAAGTAATTATTTTTTAGTATGTTTTTTTTTTTTGCTTAATATTTATTGAACTTTTATAATAATAAAAGGATAAAGATACAGGAGAATAGAAACAAATATTTTCCCACACTACCCCCCAACACCGAATACAAAAGTAAACTACACACAAAAAAAAAAAGAAATAAATCCTCAATACATAATTATAGTGTTTGTCAGTTATGTATAGAATAAACTTTGAGTCAGAATTTAGAAACAAAAAAATAAGAGTATAGGTGTTTATTTCCATATTACAGCCTTAGACCATTCAAATTTCATTAATTTCTTAACATTACGCCATGAATATAGCAGTGGAAGCTAGCATGGTTTTAAACTATAAATAAATAAACCATTTTTGATTTTATTTTGGAGTTACAAACATTTCTTCGTAAGATTCACCCTAACTGGAGTGTCCTCCCAGTGGTTTGTTTGCAGGTTGAGTTGTGAACTCTGAACACACAAACAAATGTAATTTAGCTGATCTCACCTGCAGTCTAGAGAAGATTCTGATGTAATATTATATAACACTCCTTTCCTGAGGGGCCGACTGGTAACCTCCTCTCGCGCGCGGTTATTTTTGCTCTTTTAATGATAAACTGAAATGATTCCCTCCGGCATTATTAGCAATGATTTAAAGATGAATGAAGGAAAGAGCTGAAGACCTCTTAAAGAAGTCATTTTCTTTAAATAACAGCAGAGGAAATAAAGCAGCTAGAGCAGAAAAAGAGGGCAAATGTGTTTGGTCAGAGTGGATTGAGTCTGGAGAAAGTTTTTTTTTTTTTTTTAAGCCTTCAAATTCCTCTTTAGTCACCTACCGCATACCATAAATAACAGCTTGAAATGAAAACCTGCAGTAACGAAACTAAATTCATCCCATAGCAGTGCGTCATTGATCTTGTGAAGTTCTGTTTTGGTGCCGTTCATCATCAGCGTGATGGCAATTTTTGTTCCCATCAGCTTCCTACGGTCCTGAGAGAACTAAACTGTGAGGAAAATCTGCATATCCAGTCACTGGCAGACTCTCCATGCACTGTGCCTTGTTTATGTCTGGTTAACCTTGATAGATGAAACTCATTTAGAATGGACTGAACTCATCTTAATGAGTCACAAATAATATAGTAATAATATATTGTCACAAGTATTTAGCAATTTGTACACATTTGAAAAGGATTTGTTGACGAGTTTGTAGTTCAGCATATAACCCAACATTAACCCCATTTACTCGAACACACACTCCTGGCCTTATTGTGCATTTTACGCCAAAGAAAATGTTTTGTTACGTCCCAGATGTAAGGGTCTAGGGTAAGGGGGTAACAGAGAAAAGTAAACATAAATTTGGTTGGGGTGAGTGAGTACCAGTCCCCTGCCCAGCACAACAGACACGTCAAGTTCCAAAATAAAGTATTTTATTTCCAAAATTTCCAAATGACAAAGTAAAATAGGAAGCAAAATAGACTTCAGGAGGGGGAAAGGCCAAAACAACAAACAAGAGGACCCTCTAACTAATTAAGGAGTAAAACTGTCTAAACTGACAAAACAAAAGAAAATTAACAACAGAAATGTACGCTAACTCCCTAACTAAGCAAAAACAAGAGAAAAAGATTCACAAATAAAATAGCACCCACCTCCTTACGGCTTCCAACACAGAGAGACATGTAGCGCAACAACAATGCTAATTACCTTTTGGAAGGCTACAATAAGCCATAACCCGAGTAAGTTTTACACAGTATCAATCTCTGACAA